CAAAATGGATTGAACTACAACACGAGTGATGCTTTGAAACTCGAATTCTTCGCCTCACTAAAGTCATCACTGTAAACGGCCGGAATCAATGAAGAAACTTTTCAAGAAAGAAGACAAGTCATGGTACCAATAACTCGACAGAAGAGATGCAACACCAAACTAACAGCACAAAAACGAAAAGCCTTAAGGTAATTTAGAACTAGGAAAGATGTTACCATAGTTCCAACTGACAAAAGACTTGATACAGTAACTGTGGACAAGCAAGAATATACAAGAAAAGCCAGGGAACTTCTTCAGGATAAAAGTGTATATAAACCAATAGACACAAACCCACTCAAAAAGTTAAACAACCAAATCTGAAGGACTTTAAACGAGCTTATCAAATCAGGACCAATCTCAAAACAACAGCAATGGAGAATGAAATCTGACGGACCAGTTATCACTTGATTCTACCATAGATCGTAATCACACAAACCTAACATTCTACTACATCCAATTATATCCATGGATAAACGTGAGGACATTGAAATTGACAACGAAAAACTGATGATATCCTTCAACGTAGCAGCCTTATTCACCTAAGTCGAGCTAGGCTTAGATAAACAATCTCTTTCCATTCTCCTTAGCAATGACGATAATCTCCCACGGTATACGAAACTCCAAAACCAAAGTTTACTACTACACTGGGCGTCTTCTCCTGAATTTTTTGTTACATTTGGAATAGAAGAGCCAGCTCGTCTGTGAAGTGCAGATGATGCAGTTTGTTACGCTCGTCTCTAGGTATGCTTCAACTATTACGAGTTTACCTTAGACGAATAACGAGAACAAAACAATGAACCAGCGTCCAGGTAGGCTACTGTGATCCCTTGACCAAATTTTACCAGCAAGAAGTATTGATATAGCGTAGAAAGTGTATTCTACAAACACCCAGCCAGCATACAATGCATCCCAGCACTCAAATTGCGTTTATTTATACACCATAGAGACGTCCTTGGGACAGTCACAAAAATAGCACACTAAAATGACACAGTAACCAATCACAGCCAGGTGGGAAATGTGTTTTCAAGGTCAACTGATCGGTCCATGAAATAAATCCAAACTAAAGATATTTATCAAGTGAGTTCTGGGGATCTAACATCCCCAACAAGCTTCATCCAATCTGTCCGCTTTATCCCATACTTCCTCTCAGATATTTACGGTTTCTTAATCCAGTCGACCATCAGTAGAAAGAGAAAGGGTGAGAGGTCTCAATAGTGAGAAATTCCTAAGATTTGCTCACTAGTGGCTAGGTTCACGGGGAAATCCTCTAAGTTCTAGTGAAGAGACGTGACCAGAGAAATTCAACCCTGTCGGGTGTAGGCAGTAACTATCGGCTTCGTTGGAGGTCGGCTCGGTAGTACAGAGGTTAAGCGTTCACCGAAGACCTTGGGTTCGAATCTTGCAAGTAGCAGAGGTTGTCGATGTGCATTTCTGATGAGTCCTATTAGCAAGAGGAAATGGTCATCCAGTGCTTTAAGATTTCTAATAATGGTCTAATAATGAATAAATCATGATGTCAATGGAAAAGTTTTAGTTATATCCACAATGCACTTGATATATGTACCGCATCAGTTACTTAGATTAAGCCAGGACAGAGTAGGTTGGAGAATACTGGAGAATAGCGGCCAATGCTTCATTGAGGGTAACAGACGTGCGTGCGTGCGTGCGTAAGTAAATAAGTAAAGATAAGAATTTATGCAAAATTTTATTATACATAGTTACGTAACAAAATAAAACATTCATATAATAATCATATTATATCATGTCTTAGTTAATTATCACTTTGAAAATAATCAATACACAATAACTCTGATATGAATGGAATACGTTTACTAATCATAACAGGGAAAATAGAATGCCATCGAACATGTAATTTCCCAGGAGTTTTTAACATTTCATCCCAATGTTTAGTACCTTTCAACTGGACAGCTTCTAAACCAATCGATACTTCACCAAGAATTCGTTTAAAACGCCATTTCTCCACTTGAATTAATTGACACTTGACATATGCATTCTTAATATGTTTCTCTTTAATTTTAAAACTAAATGTTTCATTAAAATATGGATTGATTAATTCTTTACGTGATTGAGTTTTGCATTTTTTCAATAAACGACGATCATGATACTTTAAAGAAATTTCAATATTTAATTCAGTTTGAGAAGTTTTCAAAAATTTCCATTTACTATCCTCATCATTTATTAAATCATTGAAATATTGATCAAGATTTAAATTTCTCGCTTCAAACACACACAGATCAATACGTGACGTGTCTGGATAATAACCTAATCCAATACATAGTTCACCTAAATTGGAATTTCTCAGATGACTCATTGATGTCGACAACCAATCAGTTTTCTCCAATACACGTCCAGCATATTCACTATGATCGATTTGATTTAATGGGATTTTTAATTGTCCTAAACTTATATCGACGCATTGATCATTGTATTGAAATACTTCGAAATAGATAACAATGGAATTTAATTGATTTTTTGTCAGTTTATAAACAAACGATTGATTCCAACATGGTTTATTTGATTGATGAATAATATCAGTGCGAAATTGTTTTTCAGTTGACGATTTCCATTGTTCATGAGTATCATTCGGATGATTATCGTTTGTTGTACTGGTCGTCATCGGATCACTTTCATATTTTACTAAAGAAACTTCAGTATATGCGCTGAATTTCTCTTGTTCAGTAGGACTAATTAAATTATTAGCTTGTATTACACAAATTTCTAATTGTTCCTCTTCTATATGATAATTTAATGAATATTCCATGGTACCGCAATGATGATTTGTGTTTGTGGCATTGGAAAATCTTCTCAATCCTGGTATATCATCTACATAGACTGGTTTCTCTTTTTTTCTATAGACTTTCGGTACATATCTTCTGCGTACAAATGTACGTATACATAATATGATTAAAATGATCAGTGTTAAGCATAGAATACAAATTAATACAAGGAGAAATATAGCTAATGCTGGTCTATTGATTACATGAAATGTTTCAGTTAAATTTTTTAGAAAATCATTGTTTGATGACGATGAATTTGTTTGGAGTGGGATTGTTGGATTTTCATTGATCAGAGTAGTAGTTGTAGTTGTGTGATTATTCGCTGTGTTTAATATCATTATTTCCTCAATTTGTGATTGTTAAGATGAATTCAACAGTTTCAATATGTGAAAAGTTGTTTGAATGATGTTATTTTTCATTGATTGGTTAATATTACTTGGAATATGATTGGTCCATAATTTAAATGAATCATGAAAATGGCGACAGTGAATAAAAAATTATTTGAATAATCATATTGGTATCTTCTTGTAATTAGTTTTTTTTTTAAATTTTACATGAGTAGTTTTGACAAGTAGTCAATTGTAAGTCTGTGGTGCGAGCTACTTATAAGTAGTATATGACGTGAGTGTCAACGTAATGTCTGGCAGCAGAAGATGGGGGAAGATCAACAAGAAAGGAAGAGTGGGAACACAATGGAATTTGTATGAAACGCATGAATAGTGAGTGACAATGGATTGATGTTTTGCAACAGGGACAGTCCAGTTCGATATGATGAACTGATATTTTGCAAATTAACAACGATTTACGATATGGTTTTCCTATTTTACTGAGTAACTCTGTAATTTTCGTTAAATACAATTCGGTTGCCCTCTCCTGT